TTGCCTAGTTTATCCTTTCTTATAAAATTAAGTTTCCTTACTGTTAGTTTTCTATAAATAGATTTTGTGTATATGCATTAAAAGACCATTGTTACAGTGTTAGTGTTAAACTAACCATGAAGAAATACCAAGTAATTACTTTTCATATTGTTAAAATAATTGTATAGGCTAAATACCTCTATAACAAAAATGTCTATATACAGAGAATTTATTATAAAGAGGAGCACCAGGTGAGGTACCAAACTGTCTCAGAGCTGTATAAATTAACAGTGAAATTCTGTATCAGAGGAAAATTTCCATAAGCCCTTTGAAATTTTGTTGTTTTGCTTTGTTGTTTTTTATGATGAGATTCATTTTGTTTTTGTAAGTATTAGCAAAAGTTTATGTACGGTAAAAATTAGATATGAATAATGCCTCTATGGAATGTAGATGAGGATAACAAAAATAAACATTTTAGATTTTTATAATGCTTTAGATTCCATTGGTCCCTAGAATTAAGACATGGGCAGCTATTTGATAGCTTGCGTAGTTTTGTTTAGTAAGTGAATACCATAACCTAGTGGTTCTCAACCTTGACTGCTATGCATTAGAATCCCTAGGGAGCTTTTAAAAAATCCAGATGTCTCATATAGCACACCAGATCAATTAAATCAGAATCCCTGGGACTTGGGCATCAAAATTTTTTAAAGTTCCCCAGGTGAATCCATTGTGCAGCCAATCTTCAGAACCCCTACATTAGACTGTTGAAAATGCAGGTGAGACTGAGCTCAGGAAAATGTAATTATCCTGAAATGACAATTAAAGGCATGAATTCTATGCCACTTCAATTATACTATTAACCCAGGTGCCTGGGTGGCTCAGTTGTTGGGCGTCTGCCTTCGGCCTGGGTCATGATCCCAGGGTCCTGGGATTGAGCCCCACATTGGGCTCCCTGCTCAGCGGGGAGCCTGCTCTTCCTTCTCCCTCTATCCCCCTGTTCGTGCTCTCTCTGTCAAATAAATAAAACCTTAAAAAAAATTATACTGTCAACCACTGAGAAAAGTACTATGGAGTTATCAGGATGTCATGATTTGGATTTGCCTTTGTCTGTGAACCAATAATAAAAGATTATCTAATAATCATCAGAACTCCAAAATTTGGTACTAAGATGATCAGTTATGGATACCATCATACACATAGGTATTTGTTTGAGGGGAAAAGTCCACTGCTACAAAAGTTAAGTTTGAAAACTACCAGTTTATTGGAAGAGGCACTGGATTAAGAATTTGGGAGCCTGTGTTCTAGTGTTCACTCTGCTCTGTAACTTTGAACCAGGGTATTTAAGTTATACTTTATAAAATGATGTAGTTGAACTGGAGGTGATCACCCAATTAATTATTCAACAAATTGGCTTGCCTGCTGTGCACTAGACAACGATGTAGCAATAAACGGAGAACATAATCCATGTCTTTGTAAAGCTCACAGAAGACAGACAAATACGCAGAATCTGTGTAGCTATAGCAAAATGTTCAGGGAATCAAGGGAGCACAGAGCTGTACTGTATCCAGTTCAGTATCAAACACACACTATAGCTTCCCGTTCAGTAACAATTCACAAATCCCTTCATCCTTACTGGCAGAGCCTATCTCTGAAATAGAGTGAAAATGCTGCCCTTGCGGCTGGACATATGACCAGTGCAGGTCAGAGAAGCCTGAGGAGAAATCTGGACAGTTTTCCTTATAAAAGATTTCCTTATAAAAATTATGCCCCTCCTTCCTGCCCTGACCTTGTTGCATGAGGACTTGATACTTAGTGTTGCAAAGGTCATCTTGAGACTGATGGCCTGAGAACAAAGGCCTTTATGCCGCTTGTAGCCAGAGAGAAGAATGGAAGGATCCTGGATCCTTGATGTCAACACTGAGCTGCTGAACCAACCCTGCAACCACCTACATGTGGACTTAACTGAGATTATAAAAATACTTATTGTTTGAACTCTTGCTGCTTTAAAAGTGGTCTATGGATCAGTATCTGCATCATCTCAGAGATTAGTTAGATGCAGAAACTCAGATCCCATGTCAGACCTACTGATCAGAATTTGTACTTTAATAAGATCACCAGGTGAGTGAGGGGCACATTAAAGCCTGAGAAGCACCAAACCGCTTTTAATTGAGTATTCTATTACATGCAGTTAAAAACATCCTTACTAATACAAATACATTGTGGATTGACCAAATGCCATTTGTTAAATAATGCTTGACCAGAACGACTTCTAACTCAGATGTAGAAAGTTGCAAGAGACTATTGTTTTTCCGTACTAACCCAAACAAGCAGTATAAGTGCATTATTATAGTTTTTAAAAACCTATCAGAGAGCTTGAGGACACAAACCTAAATGACTCTAGAAAGTGACAAGCCCTCCATTAGATCAGTGAGCCACTTATGCTCTTTTTACTGATTGAAATATAGGGAGAAAACCACCATCGAAAGGAGTCAGGAGAAATCAGCCTAACTTTAACAAACTTTTAGTGGCTAGGTATGGACTGGATGATAGGTGAGAAATCCAGAGAAGCCCTACAGCAGTGCTATCCACTAGAACTTTCTGCCATAATGGAAATGTTCAATGTCTGTGCTAACCAGTGTGGTAGCTACATGCTAGCCAAATGTAGCTATCAAGTACTTGAAATGTGCCTAGTATGACTGAGGAACTGATTTTCTGATTTTAATTTTAATTTAAATAATCACATGTGGCTAGTGGCTACCATATTGGACAGTGCAGCCTTAGAGATGGTAAGACTGCACTACCCTCAATTCTTTCCTTCAGGTCTTCATTTAGTGCTAGCGGTACTAGAAGAAAAAAGGCAGTGAAGCAGAGCTGAGAGAAAATTCCTGAGGCATAGGTTTTCAGCTGGAAGAGACTGAGGGAGAGGCAGGAAGGCTGGGAGAAATCCTTTCCAGGCCAACCCCAACTTCACAGAGTGTAGAGTAGATAAGATGAGAGGGTCTGAGAGATCTGCCAAAGCCCAAAAATCAGGGGGTGGGACTGGAAAATAAAGGCAGCTCCCTAGCCATCCAGAAAGCTGGCAGCCTGGGCTACATATTAGTAGAAATCACTCACAGTTCACAGTTCAAAAAAAGGAGGGAGCACAGGAGATCTCCAGAACCTCATGAGGGTTATAATCTGAGGCCTTACTGAAGAGAAAGTCCTGATCCTATATTCAAAATGTTTGAAGCCAGTGAGGAACTGACTCAAACTAAAGTTGTGACAAAGCCCAGATTTAGCTCAACTGTAGAGCATATTGATTCAGCCCTGACTAGAGGGCATGCTTCTAAGAAGAAATATCATTTCCTTCAGTCTCTGCTATACTTTTATACAAAAATGCCTAGCATGCAGTCAAAGGTCCTAAAACACATATTCCCCATACTCAAGAAAATGACAGTCAATATAAGCCTTAGACATGACCCAGATATTGGTGTTATCAGCTAGGGACTTCAAAATAACTATGACAAAAATGTCAAAGAATCTAGCAGACAAGGTACACAGCATGTGTAAACAAGTGAGGAATTTCAGCAGAGATGTGGAAACTATTTTTTTAATAAGAACCAAATGGAAATGTTCACCATAAAAAACATATAATAGGGGGCATGGGTTAGCCTGGTAATGGGTATTAAAGAGGGCACATTCTGCATGGAGTACTGGGTGTTATACACAAACAATGAATCATGGAACACTACATCAAAAACTAATGATGTAATGTATGGTGATTAACATAACATAATAAAAAAAAAGAACATATACTATCAGAAACTAAGATCCTGAACAGTTTTGGCCAGATTGCTAGAAGCAGTCTGTATTGTGGAAGGATTCCTTTTGGTTACACTGATTGATATGTACCTTGAATAAGAAGTACACAACACTTGCTATACTAATTATAAACCCACATACATTCTTTTGATAGAGCACTGCATAGATTCATCAGGCCAAATATTCTTGCATATTTCCCTGGTAGTTTCCTAATAGAAGAGAAAATAATTGGCACTTCTGTGAATCTATGCATAGACCTTTCTAGATCATTTAGTAAGACTTTTCACTTGGGAGAGAAATCAGACATTCTTGGTAACCTGTCCCCACCATGTGTGAGTATGTCTTGTTTGGTCAGCTTGTGCTGCAGTTGTATCATTATCATTTTCCATTCCCTTCATGTTTTCAATCTTGCATTGAACATATGGTGATAAAATACTGATTTTCACATAATAAAGATTTTAGTTTTCTAAAAACCTGTTTTGTAACAGCCAACCTTATTAGCGTCCATCAAGGCTTAGAAGAACAGTTACCTAAAGTTTCAGAATACCCCTTAGGACTTTCAGGACAGGAATTTCTTTGCAATTAGATCTTGAATTTCTGGAATCATAAACTTGACTGTTGCCTCTGCTAACAGTTTGTTGCTTAAGAGTAAGAAAGTGGAGGGCGCCTGGGTGGCTCAGTTG